AGGATGTCAGATAAGTTTGAGTGAATGCACTAGATATTATTGGAGGTTTAAGAGTCATTGGGATGGAAAATTGTGGTGATTAAGTGTTGACATTATTGAGTAGGCTGTGGAACAATGCGCACAGGTGAGCAGAGAACTAGTATGACTATGTTTTAGAAAGATCTCTCTGGCAGATATAGAGAGGATGATTTAGAGGGAGGAACAATTTATTTAGGGAGTTATTGCCTCATTTAGAAGAAATGGAAAGTTACAGGTGGATTTCAATGACACCGATAGGATCTAGAGACTATTTGAGGAATGTGGGAGGGTATATCCAAGAATAAATCTTCAATCTCTGTTTAGGGCAGCTGAGTGGACAATAATCTCAGATCCAGAAGATTTGGGCCAGCATTTCCAAGCATGAGACAAGCTTGTTTAGTTTACCCCTCACCCTTTTTCTTGTACAGTGCCTTTGCCCCTCTTTTCTAGCTAACCTCCCTGTCTGGGTTAGCAGCTATGAGCATCAGAAAATCCCAGCCTAGGAATTCTTGTCTATAGTCAACCAACAATGCACGATGATTAAGGGTTGTCTTTTACCTGGTTAGTTTCTCAGGCGATGAGTTCGTCCGGGAGCAGTTATCTTCCTGGTAAGGAGATATTTTTACATGGCAATTTCCTTTATACATGTAAGTTTCCTTTACAAAAGGAGACATGTATATTCTAATTATAGACAGAGGAGGTAAAGAGAACCAGTCGTCTGGTTCCCAGTTGCTCGAAATAAACCTCATGTCCAAGGGTATATTTTAGGGTAGCATGTTCTGGTACCCTTTAAGCACATCCACTAATTCTTAGAACTGTCATCTCAAAGATCCATCCTGGTTGCTGAGCATGGAATTGCCTTCTGACAAGGGTTGGCAGGATCACAGCTTTGAGGGTTCGAGTCCTCGTGTCTCTGTGGATATCTATGGTTTTGACCAGATTGTGTTTCTCTTTGTGTTATATTTTTCATTTTGAACACAAGTACCAGGTTTGTGTCATTAGATGTACTGTGCCATTTTACATACCCAGGGTCCCATGTTCCAATATACAATGCCAACATTCAGAACTTTAAATAACCATTTCATGTGTGTTTGTTTGTTTTTAAATGTTCACATATATCTTCCCTTGAAAATCGGAACAAAACATTTCAGTAACTACCCACAAGTTTAAACTGCATCTCTGGTTTCTTTCTCCTGTGTAGGTTAGTGGAGCCTCAAACTGCAGGACAGGGGACTGCGTGGTAACCTCCTCCTTCGCCCGCTCTCCTCCCAGAGTTCGCGTTAGCAGTTGAAGTAGAATCTTGGAAACACAAAGAGGTGATGTGGTTTAACATTTTTTATCATGAATGTTATCTATGTCATTGACGTTGTTTTTAAAAATGTGCTCAGGAATTTGATAGCAAAGTCTTAGAATTCATTAGAAGACACATTCTGTCTCATAGACTTTCTTTGCAAGATTCAGAAAATTTTGATAATTTTAATAATTGTGTTAGTTTCCTTTTCACCCTTCAGTGAAACGATTCTGTCTAGTGTCACCCACACCCTGTGTGTGTGTCGGGGGGGGGGGGGGTGTTTCTTGCTAAAAAAATAATTCAACCCAGTAAATCTGAAGATCTAATTCACTTTATTAAAATGATTCATGAATGGGGCAGAACCCCATCCAGCAGCCAGAAGGGCTCTTGGAGGGATTGTACAAAATGAAAGGTTTTTGTAGGAAAAAGGGTGGAGCAAGGGAACTATTAACAAAAGAAAAGAAAGGATTATCTTTAGACCAGGGATTCTTTTTTGGGGGTGGTTTCAGAGGAAAATCAGGGGTTTTATCATACAGATTGTTTCTTTCAATGGGGTATAGAGTGGGCTCATGGGACAGATTACCTCATTGGTGTTGACCAAAACATTTCAGACCGATGGATTATGTTTCTGGGAGAGACTGAAAGATGAATTAGGTCATGTGTTAATAATTTAGTTTCGTATAATGGTCTTTGGCCCAAGTGACTCCATTTTAGGCCAGTGGTTTTCTCTGTATTAGTATGTTTTAAGTGAATACATTAACTATTTTTCTCTTTTTTACTTACTTCTACCTTTCAGTCCTATTTGAAAATTGTCATGAGTATCCTCATTCTTTTATCCTTGTAGTTCTGAATTATTTGCTCTTGCAGATAAACTTTAAACTTTAATTTGTCATTTTTCCCCCCTTCCTGAAATAGATTCTTTAATTCACCCTTTCTGATGAATTTTTGTTATTCATCTTAACAAAATCTGTTGAAGGCACAGTATATGGTAGTAACTGTTGGGCACTAGAGACATAGTGACTGGACCCAGATATGATCTCCAATATCCTGATTGAAGGACAGAAATAGTTAAGCAGTACATACAATGCCGTGTGAGAAGAGCCAGGTAAAAGGACAAGTTCTGTGTTGTTTAGGGACATCTGGAAAGTGCATAGAAGAAACTGTGGGGAGAAGAACAAATGTCCCCCTACCCTTAAGGTTCTTCTGGCTGGTCTAATAATCAAATAGACATGAGACAGAGTAGCAAGAGAAAATGACCATATTTAATACATATGTATGGTATACCCAGTCAGAGACCCCCACATGCAGGAGAGGCTTAGAGATAGAAAGGGGCATGGAGGTATATAAGACATTCTGAGCTAGGAATGAGGTTATGTACCTAGGGGGCTTCAAAGGGTCACTGCAGGAAGATAAGACGAGCAGATGTTTAGGAAATAGTTTTGCCCTTCCATGTAGATGGGTCAAAAAGGTCATCACTGATAATCTTTTATTGGCATGGCCTCTAATTCAAATTCTTCTAGGCAGTTAAGAGTGGGGGGCAGAATTTTCTCTTGATCCTGCAGCTAAAGTTGCTTTTAGCTCAAAACAATCTGCATACCACAGAAGCCCATCTTGGGTGACTTATTCTGGATCCCCACAAAGCTTCAACCAAGATTGGTTCAAAAAGAATCCCTGCATATGAATTAGGCAAAGGGCAGGTGATGAAGGAAAAAAAGAATTCCAGGTGTTAAAGGCCAGAGAGAGAGAGAGAGAATAGGAGGGGGGGGGGGAAGGGATGGGAGGGGAAGAGGGGGAGGGAGAAGGGGGAGGGGAAGGAAGAGAGAAAGGGGGGAAGGGAGGAGAACATGTGTGTCCATGGTACTTTATTAGTATTGAAAGTGTTTCAGTATAACTGAATGTATGTTCTGTACAGCAACAAATACTTTTGAGGTTTCTGGTGTTTATATTTTTAAATTTTTCTTTGGCTCAGAAATAAGACGCTATTCTATTTTCATAATGACTTCCTACTTGCCATAATTCAGCTGTTATATAATGGGAGCTTTATAGGTGTTATTGACTAATTTTAAGTGCCTCGGGCAGATATGTAAATACATTCCCAAGTTTGTCATAATGAGTGAGGATTGATATGCATGTTTCTTCTCTTATGGGGAAGTCAGAATGTGATGATTATAGTGTTTTATTGGCAAACATTCAATTTCAGGTTACTTTTGGTAAAGTATGTAACACAGTATATATGTTACGTTATACAATTGGACTAGGCAAAGGAGCACTCTATTCTGAAATGAACCACAATCAGGATTTTAAAACAGAGATTTGTGGCATTAAAGTCTTTGAACAGCGCATGCTTTAGATAATTAATGGGCCAGCGCACTCCTTCTACAGACTACAGACGGGAAACAGACACAGAGAGGCAATGCAAGAGAGAACTCTTGTTAACCGTGATGAGGATTGTTCAATGCCATGTTTGTTTTTATTTCTAATGCTGTTGAGAAAACGTCTCTATTGTTTGCTATTTCTATTGTTAATGTAACTTAATGTAATCACATTTTTTTATTAATAAGCTAGCCAATGTAGTATGTAGCTTTTTTCAAATTGAAAAATAAAAGAACTGTTAAAGGAGGGGACATTTGAGCCTTGGATTTTTTTTTTTTTTTTTTTAATTAATCCGACCAAAGCTAAAACTTAAGGAATTCTAGAGGGAGAAAGTAGAGATTGTTTTTTTCTTTCAGATGTCTAATGGGAGGCAGAGCTTAAATAATTGACTAATTTTTGTGATCTACTTTCTCTTTCACTTACAAATGAATAAAGATAAATCTCCAATTTGTCCCTCATCTTTACTAGAGATTATTTTTCTTTAAGGCACAACAGTTAAGTTATACTCACAATGTACCTATTAAAAAGGTAATGCAAATATCGGTATCCTTTTACAAATGAGGACCACCAAGACTGGAGTGAGTCATTTCCTTACGGTCTCTCAGCTAATGAGCAACACAACTGATGTCAGAACATAGTGACATCAGTGCTGTATTTTGACATTCTTTTATAAGGAGCAGAAAGACAAGAGCAGAAAGACAAGGAAGAAGATGAAAGAGGAAAAGGAAGAAGACAAGGAGAGACAGGAGGAGGAGAACATTTTGCTGTTGTTCTTTTTTATCTACCATTCACAATGTTTAGCAGTCCTACTGCTCTCAATTTTCATAATAATCCTCTGAAATATATATATTGCCTTTATTTTATAGTTGTGGAAGCAAGTCTCAAAGAAGTTGCATTCTTCAACTAGCTGCACAGCTCATATTGGAGCTCCCCCAGAGCCTGTCTCTCCACCACTGCACAGAATTGATTCCAAAGCTCCTCCTTATTTCTCTGTATTTTTAAAGTGGACATTGCAAAATTTACTTTACATTTTATTCTATTTCTATAAGAGAAACAGATTGGAAACACTAAAAAACAAACAAAACTCTGGCTCTGCACCATGGTGCATTGACAGTATTTACACACTTTCAGAGGAAAATGTAAACTCATTTCGGGACCAAAGTGAAAGTAGGGAATTCAGAGTTAATATTAAAAAGGAAACAAAGCCACGTTTTGTGAAGCGCACATTAAGAGCAGTGCATTGGATCAAAGGATGTGATCTCACTTCATAGTAAAACAGGTCCTGCAAGCCCAGGTAACTCAGGAAGCAGAATGCTAATTATTCACAGAAGAAAGCAGGTAGTATACTGTTACAATACTACAGTAGAAAGTCAGAAGGTCACCGAGCTAGCAAGGTAACTGACACAACTTGAAACTGTTTGGCCCCCTTTAAAAAGAAATTATAAAATGGGAGAAAATGAAGCAAGTTTACCTAACACATCCTTGCAAGGTAAGTGCCAATAGCCTCAGAAATGTCTGCAGTCAGAAATTTAAGCAGTGTGGATTACAAAGTCTGTGTGTGTGTCCCGCCAAGTTTCAAGTTGTGCTTGTGTGTGTGTGGGGGAATTGTTTCAGAAGAAACTGTCTCTTTTGTGCTCAGCCACTTGATCAACACAGACAGACGAATGTGTGGGGCACAGGAAGAGCCTTATGCGACGCCCCAGCATCGTGCTGGAGAGACGGTGCAACCAGCCTCTGTACATTTCTCTTGTAAGACCTTTTACAACAGTGACAGAATATTGATTCTTGTCTCCGCCTGTACAATTTTTATTTGTAATCAAGGTTTTCCATCTTCGGGGTTTATCAGCTAAATGTCCTTGTAGTAGTATTACTATTTTTTAAAGGTGGAAAACAGGATCTCAGAAAAGAGCAAATCAGTTGGGAGAGGGTTTATTTTACATGTCTTACTTAATCAGATACCTTTGTCCTTTGAAGGCATTGGCTTTGTTGACATTGGCTTGACTAGGCTTCTGTGGTTCAGCTTGTTGATAGTAACAAGTACAAGGTTGCTCACACTTTGCACTTTTTTGAGTGAGAAAAGTTCTGTTTAAAAACTAAAAACTAAAAAATGGGTCTGATGCTTATTTGTTGCCATGATTTTTTGTAGTCTACTCTCTCATGAATTATTTGCCATATTTAAAAGGAACATTTTAATCAAGATTTTTTTCAAAAATCTACTTATAATGCCATTTTTATTTGTTTCATTATGTTCTTGTGGTGTTACCATGAAGAAAATTCCCAAACAACTCAGTTTTTCATTAAGTACATATAATCAAACATATAAAACTACATCTGTGAAAAATAGCACATGCAAGAATAACAATAAGATAATCACAGTCATGCCTGGTCATAACAATGTAGCATCCAATTTATAGAGTTAAATTATCTTCTAGAATGCCTATGTTTTTTTTTTATTTAATCATTTCTCCACTTAATCCACTTAAGAATCTCAGAATCTTATTTTTATTTCTGTATGTTTCCTGAAAACATTTTTGAAATATGCATGACATGCTATTATAAAGCATTTTTAATTTAAAGATTACTAAAAAAGTCATGTAGTACATTCTATTGAAGAAAAACAAGGTACAAGGCTCATTTAGCATAATTCTATGAAATAATTTATTTTTATGTGTTTTATAAACAAAATGATATTATGCATGTGATTATTACATGTACCTTACTAAATTGTGTCCATAATATCTTTCCTTGAAAAATATATGTTGTTCATATAGTAATGACTGTGTAGAAAATGTATATGACTCTTGGTCAACCACCTGCACAGCCTGTCCTAGAACTGTGTGGGTACATCACCTGTGTCTGTATTCAAGGGATTCAAAATCTAGGGAATAACCAGGCCTCTCCCCTTTCCCCTTATCATTCCTTTTGTGTCAGAATAGTGGGTAGTATTTATTTTAGAATCTTGTAATATGTATAGATTTTCTGTTTTGTTTTCCTTTTTCTCTGACACTTCTATGTATGTTACATTTCTGGAGCTATGTCCCACTTTAAAAGGGCGATCTATCTATCTATTTATCTATCTGTGGATAGATACACACATTCTTTTTAGAATTAATAACCATTATATATAAGGGGAAAGTACACACAGTTTAAAACAAGAGCTATTGGAATGCCATGGTTTTAGTTAGGAAATGCTGTGCTCTGATCTGTGAACCTGCTGTCATTGGGGAATGTCTGTGCGACCAGTCCTGTCTCAGGCTGTATTTCCTTTGTGCAGCCTGTGAAAACTGGTCAGTAAGGGATGTGTTCTCTTCTGACCTAACCTGAGTGAAAATCTTATCCTTCGTAGATCCACAAAGAGTTCAGATATACCTTCTTTGAATATTGAAATGCTTCCATTCCAGTTGTATTTGCCTTAAGATTATTAAGTGAACCCATTAATCAGGTGAGAGTTAATGAGAAATGAAGGTTCTTTGGTTGTTGGTTTTCAATTATTTCTGGATTTATTTGAAATTATAACGGAAAGTACTATAGGGATAATTTGCAGCTTTATTTGTACATGGGAAGGTAAGAGGTTTTGATAAGTGTGTTTAATGTTTTATAAAAGAAATCAAGATATATCCTGGCATCTCCATTTATGTGATGCTCTTACATGATTTTATATAGCCTGTCCTATAACTGAACTTGAATTTAAAAGTATCAAAGTAAATAAAAAGGCATTTGAAATATTGTTTAATTTTGCCTTGATTTAACAGCATTTATAAAAAGATTCTGAAGTTCTCTGAAATAATACTAGTTATTATCAGCTCTACTTATAAATGAATGTCCACTAGTAGGAACAACTATATTCAAATACTATGTTTTGTACAATAAACAAGTGGATGATTTGAGTGTTTTGGCTATGAAGATAATAAATGACAGTAGAGTATTTTTAGACTGCCATCATGTGCTTTGAATAATATTTTCCAAGGCCATGTATTGTACCTAGAATGTCTAGATTCAATGGATCATCTCTAATCAGAACTTGGAGGGCTGGCCATAGACATCGTCAACTTTATGCATTTTGTCATTATTTCCTGTAGGTCTCTGATCTATTTTTAGACCCCAGAAACTGGTTGAGTGAGCCCTGGTGGGTGGAGTCCATAACACATCACTATTTAATATTACTATTTAATGGCATTGGTAACTTATTTTTTTCCAAATGAAAGTGAAGGTTATGTCCACCTTCCTGTGAACTGATACCAGTTTTCTTTTCAAACATAAAAAGCAATCTCTTCCTTTCAGTCCCAATGAAATGTAACCCCACAGACAATTATGTGAAGATTCCATACATGAAGGTTTATAATATTCTCAGGATTCACAAAATGAAATTATTGAGAGTAGGGCAGAATGCCAGAATTTTCTTTCTAATTCTTGAAAATATAAATAAAATGTATATATAATATGCCAAAAAAAAAAAAAAAAAAGTAGGGGCAAGTACTTTTTGAGCATTGCCATTTGCTGAGAGAAGGAAGCATCCTTGCATAACAGATGCAGACTCACAGGTACCACTGAGTGGCTCTTGGTCCGTCGTGATAGTAGTGAAAGGCCACGGCTGGGATGAGAGGGTGGCAACTTCCTTCTTGGCCAACAACCACCTGGACAGTTCCTTAGGTGGCGGTTTCTCCAGAGGCTACCCTTGGACAGGCCCGGGCCACTGAGCTTTTTTCTACTTCTCTCAGAGTTTTTCTTAGCTGGTAGGGCAGATTCTAGTCAGAACTGTCCAAAAAGGAAAGACTCTGCCATAATCCAGCTTTGTTCCTCATCCCCCGAGTCACTTCTACATCAGCAACTCAGTCCTCAGCAGCTTTTTCCACCTTGTTTCTTTCCTCTTTCTTGGTCAAAGCATGTGCAAGGCCTCTTGCCTCTTCGTAAAGGATATAATATGCAAATTTACCCTTGGAAGTATTTGAATAAAAGCTATCCCTAAGTTCAGTGCCAGAACAACCTTGTGAGCGATTTCATGGGGTGTCCCCTGGGCCGCTGAACACAGCCTTTTCTCTATCAGCTGCTTGGATGTCTGAGCATCTTCCTATCATAGGCCGCCTTCCGACCTCAGTTCTCTAGCTCCAGGAAACCTCTCCAGTCTGCAAAAACTAGAACTCAGAGGAAAATGTAAGTACAGAAGAGTTGGCAACACCCTGTGGAATTCAAAGCCAGCTTTAGACAGCAATCAGCAGAGAGGAGAGAACTCTTTGCTAACACACTGAAGGAGAATTTGATTGTCCGAGTTAGGGGGAGATCTGTAGATCATTAAAATTTTCAAGGTAGGACGAAGCTTAGAGGGCCTCGAGTCCAATATTTCCACTGTGTACCGTGGCAGACAGAGGTCCTGTGAAGAAAATTGTCCTTGGTTTCTCAGAAGCAGTTGCCAGGTCTCCACCCCAGCTGTTCAGAGCCTATAATTTTATGGAGGAATTTGGCACATTATTTTCTGCACGTGTTTACTTTCCTTTTTCAGAAGGGGAAGTCAGGCTCATGTATGCTTTCCATATTGACACCTTTCAGTTTCTGTGGTTTTGGCCTGGGAAGAACTGCCGAGTATTTAGTGAGGCCATGGAAACCTGGTCCGCCCAGGTTTGGGTTTTCTCTCGACTCCATAAAAGTTTCATTGACCTTTAAGACATTGACTTAACTTGCATCACAACCGGGAGAATGGGCACGTCCATCAGCACACATTGTCTATTTCTCACGACACAGCCATGTGCTAAAAATGATACTCATTTTATTTGGCTACTAAAAGAAAAAAAAAAAAAAATCTAGGCAGAAAGGTGCCTTAGTGTCTGTGCTTCTAAGTTGCAGCCGGAAGGCAGCAGTGCTGTACACTCCGACCTGTTAGACTGGTTTGGGGTGCATGTTTACTTTCTGTGGTAGAGAGCATATCTCTGTAGTCATCGTCCTAAACCATGCCTGTGAGTGCCTTGAAATCTTTCCAGAACTCCAAAGAGGCTAACAAGTTGCGAGTCTCTCTTGTCAGCTATAGACTTTGAACAACATTTTCAATCAAGAGAAGTGCAAGGGGCCCTTGTGTCAGGAGGAGGACTTTCACTCGCTCATCATGGTAGGTTGGAAAAAGAAGAGCTGAGACATTGTGGAGTTGATGTTTCAATATTGAGGCAGCAGGGCATTTTGGAACCGAAGCTACGCTGGAGAGGTCTTATGTAAGGACAAGAATCGAACACATTTGGAGCAAGTAAAATTGCAGAGAATGTTAAGGCAGGAATTCCTAGGTGAGTCTGATCTAATGTTAAAGGTATACCGTGAAGATGGCTTGGGGACTTTCTCCAGGTGTAAGACAGAATCCTTGGAGCGGGCAAATGAGATTTGGAGATTAACTCTGACATAATATATATGTTAATCAAAACAAGTAGCCAAGGAGATCTCTTTTCCTTGCCTTTTTAAACATAAATAGGATCGTTACCTTATTAGAAATAAAATGCAATTAATATATTT